AGATAAATAAAGATTTAAAATTCTACATATTTGTTTTATCCTTTTGGAAATACTCATTAAGTGGTGGCTCTAGAAAAAGAGTTGAAGTAAATTACTTTCTTATATTCTTATTTTAAAAAAATTAACTTAAATTTTATGGTTATCGTTAATTTTTTATTAGACATAAAAATAATAATTTAACAAAACCAACTATAATTATTAAATTTAAACCAATTTTTTAAGAATAAAATTTTAAGGTGATAATTTCCTTCAACTTTTATTCAAGTGCTAGTTTACTTTAATTTTTCATTTTTCAAGTACTAATTTACTTCAAGTCAAAAATATGAGGGGTGAGGTGCATATTTGGCCATAATGAGGTAGCAAAAGAGGACAATTTAACCGGAAACCTCTAGGGCCTACGATACGAATAAGATGATACAAAAGTTCTCACCTCACGTGCCACGTACGACGAATCACTAACTCTCACGTGACCCAACACAATCGTTCCTTCATTTGTTACGTCTGCCCACATCAGATTCCACGTTAGCCAATACCGCCACGTGTCATTGGGTGGAGTATATAATCCACCCCTCGCCCACATTCTTATCACACCCCAGACTCAAATATGCAAACGCCGGGCTGCAGCCCTCCCGTTCTCTTCCCCGACAATTACACGAGCTAAACCAGGCATTTAAAAAAAAAAAAAAAAGGGGAAAAATGAACTTATCAACGAGAAAACAGAATACATAGAGAAGGGAAAGTCAGGAACGTTACCTCACAGAAAGCAGATTTCTAGAGGGAGTGGATTTGTCTTGAAAATGGCGATTCCTTTGCCGGAATTACAGAGGAGAGAGGGGGCAGTGCTACCGTCGAGTTCGTTGAGTGCAGCGTCTTTTGGAGGTTGCTCAACGGACTCCGAAGGCAAGTCTCCGATTCTGATATTCTTCTTGTTTCACAAGGCGGTCCTCAATGAGCTCGATTCGCTCCACCGTCTGGCCATGGCTTTGGCCACTGGCCACCAGGTCGACATTCATCCTCTTTTCCAACGTTATCGCTTCCTTAGATCGGTTTATACGCACCACTCCTATGCCGAAGACGAGGTACTAAATTTTATACAAGTCTATTTGCAAGTGCTATCTGATTCTATTTCTTAGGTGAATTTGTGCTGGTTTGCTTGGTTCTGAATCCTCTGCTCGTCGTGAATCCGATTGATGAGTCTTATTTACACGTTTAGCGGCTTGGTTATTGCTGTTTGTGTTGCCTCTCTTTCTTGATTATTTTCATACGGTCTTCTGACTTTTTCTGTATTGTGAATGTTTTAAAGTTTTTGTGCTCTTTGTTTGCTGAATCTATATGAAAATTCTGATCCGATTGAACTTTTCTGTTTGAGGTGTGGCATTTCATTTTATATTTGCTGTTTTCAGCAATTCTCTCTTTTTATCCTTCTCTTTCTTTCCATTTCTCGCCGCTAAAGGTATCAGGACTCGCTTCTTTTGTGTGGTACCTGATTATTTGCATTCTCGTTACTGAATCTTGACCTGGATGTCTAATGATTTAGGAGCTTTACGAGTTTTGCTATAGTTTTCAGTTTTTTTTTTTTTTTTTCAACTTCAAGTGAATTTTTCACTGTCTTGTTTCGGATATAGACGGTTCTAATCTCATCGGTTTTTAATATACTGTCTGTTCCTATTATTTTCTTAGCATTTCTGCTCCCTGTGGAAAGAATGTGTTTCTCTGCTTTTAAAGAAGATAAATGAGAAAAAGCAAGGTACTGCATTAACGCTATCTCTTGCTGCTGCCTAAGTCTTTGGTTCTGAAGAAGGCCTGCCGGCCTAGTGGCCCAGCAGTTTAATGTAAGCCTTCTTCACCATGGTAAGGGTTCGATCCCCCTCCCCAGCCCCCTCCCCCTGAAAAAAAAAAAAAAAAAAAAGTCTTTGGTTCTCTTTTTCCCATTGGAGAGAGATAGAGTTTATGGCTTAAAGTGTCACAACTTACCTTTGTTGAAACTATAGTGATCTATTGAAATGAGTATGCAAAAATGTTCCAATTCCAAATCTTTCAATTCATGTAGAGTAAAGCTTTAAAGTTTTTTATATTTATCTGCACAACCAGGGACAACTGCCCCTTTTTTATTATGATTTTGAGTGCCACTTATTTCCTATTAAAAGTGGTCTGACTGTGTAAGTTTCTGGTGCAGACTTCTATGTTTGCATTTCTCGCATTCTTGGTTGCATTTATGCACTTTTATGCTGATTGGAGTGCTAATTTATATGTGCTTTTTTCCACCTAGGCTTTACCAAAAATTATCCTTTGGTTTTAACCAATGGGGGCATCAAGTTACTATTGTTTCTAACAAAGTTTATGGCAATCAACATGTGATTGTGTGTTTTAATGACTTTACATCGGTACTGGTTTATATGGTTAATCTGAAACTTGTCTGAGTAGTAATGTGAACAACAAAATTCGATATTTAGTGATGGCCACTTGTTTCATGTGCATGCTGAGAATGTTTTACAGATTCTCTCTATTGGACTTTTGAGGTTCTCTGCATATTATCCAATCTGAAACAGTCTGTTAGCTGGATTTCCTTTGTTTCTATCTTGATTTGTATTAAACTTTATAGGTGATATTTTTCTGTTCTAGCTTCCTCTTTCTGCTAAATTGAAACTTGTAACAACCTGATGATCTGGACTGCAGGTTATCTTCCCAGCTTTGGACATACGTGTTAAAAATGTGGCACAAACGTACTCTCTTGAACACAGTAGTGAAAGTAATCTTTTTGATCATGTATTTGAGCTGCTAGATTCTTACATGAAAAATGATGAAAGCTTCCCAAAGGAGTTAGCTTCTTGTACAGGAGCACTACGGACGTCAATCAGCCAGCACATGGCAAAAGAGGAGGAACAGGTATGGGTTCATCTAGTATTGTTCTTACTCTTGTTTTGGACGTTAGACAATTCATATCAGCAATTCTTACTGTCAGCTGGTCATACCAGAAGTAACTAAGAGAAAAGAGCTTGAGTATTTTCCTTTGTTGCAGGGTGCTAAGTAGTCTTATATTTTACTTGCATTTTTATTATTTGATATCATGTTGCTGATCCAAATATATATATAAATATATATATAAAATTTATTGATAGTATGTTAAACTAACAAAACAAATTTAGCTGCTCTCTATTATCACTTCTATATTATATAATTTGGAGAAAGGTTAAAAACCCTAAATTTAGGCACTAATGTCTAATTTTCAACTAAACCAATAACATATGCAGGACGAAAAAAAAAAAAAAAATAATAACCTATTTTATCTTGTGAACTTTTCCCCTTCATTCAATGGAATAAAGAATATTTCACTCATTTTTTCAGATTTGGCAATGAATAATGAAATTTTTAAGCAAGTCAATCTTGTTTGATTTTATTTTTATGTTTTATAATTTGTTAAAAAAGTTTAGTGTTTTTTTCTTTCTCCTCTTTTTGTTATTAATTAGACCAAGTTGGTCATTGAAATTAGTTATTCATTGCCTTGTCAACCAGAATGGTTGTAATATTCTAGACATAATAAAAGGTTCTCTTTCAGTCATCTGTCACTCTAACTAACTTGCACATAACTTTAGATAATGCTTATTTTAGCATTTGAATGCTAATTGAAAATATTTTTTTGATCAAATGAAACTACTAAAAAAGAACTACGTATTGAAACAAAAAAGATTTAAATTGTCATACATATGCTATAAAAAGGTGTTACCTAAAGTTATGTGCAAGTTAGATGTAGTAATAGACAGAGGGAGTAATTAATACCAGCCAAGACATTGCACTGCATGAGTGGTTTCATTAGTCGGATATTATAAATATGTTAAAGGGTTTCTCTACTTTTATCCCTAATTTTTTTCTTTTAGAAGAATTTTTATCTTTAACCTGGCATCGTAGCATTTTATCATCAATTAAGTGATTGAGTAAGCAAGGTGCCCACTTACATATCTGAAAGAGAAACCCCATCAGTATTTAGACATATATCTTAAATGATCAATATTTATACATATATCTTAAATATTTCATTATGTTTTCCGGTAACCTATTCTGGTTTATTTTATTGGTTGTAAATGCCTTTTTCTGCTTCTGCTTTCTGTTTCTTCTTTCTACAGGCCAATATGCTTCTCAAATTTATATCTTTATTTTCAATGTTCTTTGTGGCCATAATATTGCAGAATGCAGAGTGCTTTTTTTGTGGTCTTGATTACAAATCTATGGAAGATGCCTTCTTTTTATTATTCTTATTATTATTGTTATTAGTTTTATGTTTCTCTAAAGTAATAACATAAACCAATTAAAGAATTATTTCTATTTGGAGACTGGATTTAATTGTGCTTCTATAAGAATATCATACAGATGCCTATGAGTTGGCACTAGCTTTTTAATTATTATTGGTTGCAATTGTGATTCCACTGAGATGTAGTTCTAGTAGCATGGATAACCATGTCGCCATTCCTATGTGCGTTTTTCTTGAACACTTTGATCTGTTGAACCAGAAGACAAAACATGCTAGACTTGAACCAAAAATTATGACTACTTTCTTTTTTATCGTGCCAGGTCTTTCCCTTGCTTATTGAAAAGTTTTCACTTGAAGAACAAGCATCACTTGTATGGCAGTTCTTATGCAGCATTCCTGTGAATATGATGCAAGAATTCCTTCCCTGGCTTTCATCCTCTATTTCATCTGATGAATATCAGGATATGAGGAAGTGCTTAAGTAAGATAGTTCCAGAAGAAAAGATTCTTCAGCAGGTAAGGTTTCTGTTGCCAATTATTACTGAGTTGATTTTGAGTGGTTTTATTAAATAGCTGATTACTGCTCTTATTGAAGGTTATCTTCACCTGGATGGAAGGAAGGAATGGTGCTGCCATGCTGGGAAGCTCAGTAGATGATTCTAACGTCCAATGTTGCTTAGGTTCTGCTGCCAGCACATTAACTGCACCATTGGACACTGTAATATGTGCATGTGGAGCACCCAGCAGTGGAAAAAGGAAATATTTAGCAACTAATAATGATGTTCTTGAGACTGATGGAACACATCCAATGAATGAAATATTGCTTTGGCATAAGGCTATTGAGAGAGAGTTGAATGATATAGCTGAGGAGGCTAGGAAAATTCAAGTCTCTGGAGATTTCACTAACTTATCAGTCTTCAATGAGCGATTGCAATTCATTGCTGAAGTGTGCATCTTTCATAGGTATCTCTTATGAAGTTCTTTTCTTTACCTACCTGATTTCACCTTAATTTCATCTCAGCATCCTTCTTATACAGAAGAATGAAAGTATAAATTGTATTTTTTTTAAAAAAATTTTTTATGTAGAAGAATGTATATTTGTTTTAGCTCTTAGTCTACTTGACATCCTTATTGTGATTTCCAGATATAATTGTCATTGTGATTGTTCCAAGTTTTCCTTTCTTCTTTATTTCATGTAAAAGAATACTGTTGTGTGACTTTGTGTATGAAGAAAAGAATAGAAGTGCCAACAAATTAATTATTCTCTAATATGGAGCATCCCTGTACTGAAAAGTAGGGAATAATGGGAAATAAGGTGAGATAATATATATATGAGTAGGGATACACTTACACACAAGTCTTACACACCACACTTACACAAAATCTCAACCATTCATCTTTCCATTTTCAATGGTTGAGATTTTTTCACATTTATTAAAAATAATTACTTTTTTTAATCGAAAAAGTCATGATAAATCTCAATTATCGAAAGTGAGAGAGATGAATGGTTGAGATTTTGGGTAAGCGTGATGTGTAAGATTTGTGTGTAAGTGGATCCCTCCTCTCTCTCTCTCTCTATATATATATATACATATAGAAAGAGGTTAAAGAGGAAGGGAAAACTTGTTCTGACTATTGTTCTTTGAGGTTCATTATAATTTCTTCTGATGATGTCTTTTCAATCATTGTAGGATCTTATGGATTTATGAACTTTCAGACTGATATAGAAGCTATGTGATAGATTGATATGATCAACGTGTGATATCGAATGATCCTAGTTTTGATCTGTTGCTAGTTTCTCTTCTAGCTTTTTAATTGGGAAGATTAACAACTGGTATTATTATGCAGTATTGCAGAGGATAAAGTCATATTCCCTGCAGTTGATGAGGAATTGTCATTCTCCCAGGAACATGCTGAGGAAGAAAGTCAATTCAATGAATTTAGGTGTTTGATTCAGAGTATACAAGATGCAGGAGCAATGTCTACTTCCATTGCTGAATTTTTTCCCAAGTTATGCTTGCATGCTGATCAAGTTATTGAAACTATAAGGAGGCACTTCAATTCCGAGGAAGTTCAGGTGAGCTTTGGGACATTTGATAACTTGAATGATGCTATGCAGTTCTTTATTTCAGAATAATAACAAAAGTAGCACAATAGCTTCACAGCACCCACCCCCCCTTCCCAAAAGAACCTCCATTGAGTGTTTGTTGTTGTCATTTGGAAAGCACTGTACTATATTTTTGATATCATTTTGAGAGGTATAGGGAACAATTATAGCTTTATGGTTTTGGTTCTTCTCTATGGTTAAGTCACCTTTGCTTGACTAGAAACTTGTGGCACCAATTGTCTCTTTCATTCTGATAAGGCATCAGCTGAGGTCCTTTGCATGTCTAGGTGCTCCCACTTGCACTGAAGCACTTTAGCTTTGAGAGACAGCGTGAACTTTTGTATCAAAGCTTCTGTGTGATGCCCTTGAGATTGATTGAGCGTGTCCTCCCATGGTTGATTGGATCATTGACTGATGATGAAGCCAGGAATTTCCTTAAAAACATGCAGTTGGCAGGTCCCTATCTGTCCCCTGTATTGTCACCTTTTAATGGACAAAATATGTTCATATTTAACATTCTCTATTTTATTTTAACTTTACACTTGTTTCTTTGATACAGCTCCAGCAATAGATACTGCTCTGGTTACACTTTTTACTGGTTGGGCTTGCAAGGGTCATAACCAGGGCATATGTGTGTCTGCAGATGGCTGTGGTTGCTGTCCTGTTAAAAAGTTCAGGGATATTGAAGAAGATTTTGTTAGATCATCTTGTCCATGCACTTCAGCATCTCACGAAGATGAAGCCAAAAGGCCAGCCAAGAGAAACATTGTTTCATGTAGAAACAGCAATACTTCTGAACCCCTAGACACTGCAAATGCCTGTAAAACATTGTCTAGTGAAAGGTCATGCTGCGTGCCAGGTTTAGGTGTAAATAGTAATAATCTAGGGATGAGTTCTCTTTCAACAGCTAAATCTTTGCGGTCCTTGTCTTTTAGCTCCTCTGCTCCATCTCTAAATTCCAGTCTTTTTCTCTGGGAAACAGATAATGGCTCTTCTGATTTTAGGTCTGCAGAGAGACCCATTGATATTATCTTCAAATTTCACAAAGCCATAATCAAAGACTTGGAGTATCTGGATGTTGAATCTGGAAAGCTAAGTGACTGTGATGTGACATTCCTCCGCCAGTTTATTGGAAGATTTCATCTGTTATGGGGTTTTTACAGAGCCCATAGTAATGCTGAGGATGAAATTGTTTTTCCAGCATTGGAATCTAAAGAGGCACTTCATAATGTTAGTCACTCATACACACTAGACCATAAGCAGGAGGAAAAATTATTTGAAGACATTAATGGTGTTCTTTCTGAGCTTTCACGCCTTCATGAAAGCTTACCCAGAGGTCATTTTGCACAGGATCTAACTGGAAGTAGCCCTGAAGTTTCTGCTGCTCATGGCAGTGATTGTATGAGGAAGTATAATGAACTAGAAACTAACCTACAAGGAATGTGCAAATCTATAAGAGTTACTCTAGATCACCATATTTACAGGGAAGAACTGGAGCTTTGGCCATTGTTTGGAAAACATTTCTCTATTGAGGAGCAAGACAAAATAGTTGGCCGCATAATTGGGACAACAGGTGCAGAAGTTCTTCAGTCGATGTTGCCATGGGTGACTTCTGCCCTCACTCAGGATGAGCAAAATAAAATGATGGACATATGGAAGCATGCGACCAAAAACACAATGTTCAATGAATGGCTTAATGAGTTCTGGAAAAGACCTGAATCGCAGAATGAGACATCAGAATCTAGCATTTCTCAGCAAGGTGAGTGGTAGACTTCCAATGTTGAGTGCAGGAATGGAGTATTATGCTGATTTAGAGTTAACTTGAATGCTTGCGCTTCTCTGAGTAGACTGTGGTTTTCTTTTTCCATGTCGATGTTTGCTATTTATTTCACTGGATAAAACTTTTAACTAGTCCTGCATTGTTTAGGTAATGACTTCCAAGAGAGTTTGGACCAAAGTGATCAAATGTTTAAGCCAGGGTGGAAAGAAATTTTTAGAATGAATCAAAATGAACTTGAGTCTGAGATCAGAAAGGTCTACCGAGACTCAACACTTGATCCGAGGAGAAAAGCTTATCTTGTTCAAAATCTTCTGACTAGGTTAGTTCAATAGTAAAATTCTTCTTTATTTTTATTTAATCCTTGAAGAGTGCTTGCACCCATTATATTTTTACATTTTACATTGTGTTGTTTCTTTCTTTTTGGTAAAAAAAAAAAAAAAGAGAGAAATTCTTTACTGCCATGCCCCCTAAATAATAATAATTCTACTTTTATTTAGTCGCTGGATAGCTGCTCAACAAAAGTTACTGCAAGCATCATCCGGTGAAACTTCTAATGTTGAAGAAATAACAGGATGCTGTCCATCATTCCGAGATCCTGAGAAGCAAGTATTTGGGTGTGAGCACTACAAAAGAAACTGCAAGCTTCGTGCTGCTTGCTGTGGCAAGTTGTTTACCTGCAGGTTTTGCCATGACAAAGTCAGCGATCACTCAATGGATAGGTATATATATATATATTTTTTTTCCTTTTTACATAGATTTGAGAAAGTACTTCAAGGCATCTGACATTTTGTTGCTCAATAATCACAGGAAAGCAACCACAGAGATGATGTGCATGAGCTGCCTACAAATTCAGGCTGTTGGGCCAATATGCACCACTCCTTCTTGCAATAGACTCCCAATGGCAAAGTACTATTGCAATATATGCAAGTTTTTGGATGATGAAAGGTAAATTTCCTACTGGCTCAGGTTTCAGTGAGGATGTTTTCTCCATCTGAGATTTTTTTTTTTTTTTTTTTAAAGATTTTTTTTTTCTCAATATGATCCTGTTCTAGATTTATATAAACTTTTTTGGAAGATGAAAAGCACTGAACATGGTAATATCACAAATTCCTTTTTTTTTAATAAGCAATCTTTACAAAAAAGAGAGGGTCATGGGGTTGCTTACACCTGGCTTCGAACCCATGTCTAGTGCAGTAGTGTCTGTCACGAAGCCTGTTTGCCTGGCCATCAGGTGATTGGCAGTAATACCACAAATCCTAAAATAAGAGGACATGGTGGCAAAAGCAACTTAATTATTTCATTGTTTAACATGACCTTTTGTTGCTAGTTTAGATCCAGACATTAGATTGTTGATTGTATGGTAATGCTGTGAGTCTCTATTAGGATTCATTAGCATCCAATTTACTAGGGTTGGGTCGGTTCTCTTTTTGGCAACATTGTATATGTCTTTTATACTTTTGTTGTGCTTGATATCAATTACTTCAATAAATATAGATGCCAAAAGTTTAATCTCACCAACCCCAGGAAAGACATTCAATCTATATTTTAATAGATCATATTATTTGAATAGAAAAAGAAGCCTAACAAAGATAAATACTTAATAAAATGGTGGCCTAACATTTTTGTTCTTTTGACTTCTGCCTGATGATCTTCATTCCTTCTTCCTTCCCTTCTCAATCCTGCCAAACAAATTGTCAAGGGCTTGCTTAATAGGCTGTAGCATATATTTCCAGTTACCAAGAACATCTTGAAAGCATGTTGCTAGAATTTGCTAATCAAACAAAAAAATATGTTTTTTTTTTCTTTTCTGCTACAGGACTGTATATCACTGCCCATTTTGCAATTTATGCCGTGTTGGGAAAGGTCTTGGCATTGATTATTTCCATTGTATGACATGCAATTGTTGCCTGGGTATAAAGTTGGTGAACCACAAGTGCCTGGAAAAAAGTTTAGAAACAAATTGTCCAATCTGTTGCGATTTTCTATTCACATCAAGTGCAACAGTCAGAGCTCTACCTTGTGGCCATTACATGCATTCAGCTTGTTTCCAGGTTTCTGTCTTACTGTCTGTTGTGATTAAAAATGTGGTTTTCTTTCTATTTTCTGTCTTGTTCCTTTCATCTTCTGAGGGGAATCTGATCAAAGATTCTATTTAACCTTAAGTTTTCTTGCTATCTGTTAGGCATACACTTGCAGTCACTACACCTGTCCTATTTGCAGCAAATCCTTAGGAGATATGGCAGTAAGAAAACCATCTCCTCTCTCTCTCTCTTTGGGCATCTTCTCACTCTTGTTAATAATCCGTGATAAATGTATATTTGTATGCTTATCATGTCCTGTTTCTTCTAGTAGATGGTAGTGAGAGATTCAAAAATTGAGCAAGGCAATTAATCTCTTCCAGGGTCATTTCCTTTTTGGCCTTCTTTGAAGGGTTCATTTGTTTTGCCCAAAAGAAAAAAGTTGGGTTCCTTTGTTTGAATAAAAGGGTTTGAGAATGACTTGGAATTGAATTGTTATTTGACATCTGGCTCTGTGAATGTGAGCTATAAATGAATTACTAAAGGTTCAATTTGAATTGTAATTAAGGGGATGATGGGAAATAACAACACCTCCCTTTATTTATCACTAGGTTAGATGGATTTGAAAGTAGTTAACTGATTTGGCAATTCTAAATTTTTTACTACTGTGTACAATTAATTTCAAGGACCCATGGAATGAGTCATATCCATATGGAATCAAAGTATGTGACAAGTGTTGGACATGATTTCATTGGGATAAATAAATTGTCTGAGTATATAGCTCACTGTTCTTGGTTTAATAAAGATTCAACAAATTAATGGATAATCTAATTGCAGTGCTACGAGCATGATACATATAATCCTTTTTTGTTATTCTCTATCTACTCAGGTTTACTTTGGCATGCTTGATGCATTGCTGGCTGCTGAAGAACTTCCAGTGGAATATAGAGATCGTTGTCAGGTATCTTGGCAGTTACCTATTTTTAGCTTTTCAATAATTTTGTGTGGCAATTTAGTATGTAGATCATAAGAGACTTGGTCATAAATTAATCATTAATAAGTAAGTCATTCTGATTAAAATAGGGTTACTATACATAAGTAAATTTTTTGTGGTTGGTTTGACTTGACTTTGTGTAACGGATGAATTGGGTGAAGAGTAAACACCACTTCTGAAGATCAAGATTAATGACTAGGTTTCAATTGTCATAAAAGCATTCTTCATTTAGTTCCTTCCTTAAATAATTCTTTGTGAGTTGACGAGAGTGGGAAATCGAAACTTTACGTAAGTGGGGTTTCTCATGTGAAGATTTAACATAAATATGTCCGCAATTTTAAGTCAATTTCACCACTCTTTTGTTTGTTTGTTTATTATACTTGATTCTTGGATTGGGGGAGAATAGATTTTAACTCTTTTCACTGCAGTTTGTGCTGCAAGTCCCTCATTCTGCATTGTTTCTAAAAGTTTACCCAATCAATCATTAGTTGGATGTTCAGTGAAAAAACTTGGCATCACCCAGACACCTCCTCACTTGGAAACAATGAATATTTATATTTGCAGACATCACTGCTTAACCTGTTTACCAATCTTGAGTTTACTATCTTTGAGTTCAGGACATACTTTGTAATGATTGCGACCGAAAGGGCACAGCACGATTCCACTGGTTGTATCATAAGTGTGGATTTTGTGGTTCTTACAACACTCGGGTGATCAAGAGCGATGCAGCAATCCCAGACTGTCCCTCATCACACTAATGGGGAGGTTTTTGTTTATTTATTTATTTTTTTCTCTTCTTCAAAAAGGTAAAGTCATTACTTTGTACATATTTTGTATAGCCAATTCAATTTTCCAAAGGAGGCGGCTATTTCCCCAAATATTTCCATACGTGATCAAGCATGTCTCTCGGAGAGTTGTCTTTTGTGGGTTTGGGTTCATCAAGAGCATGCAGATAGTTGTAGAAGCTACATGGTAACAAAATGATGTATAGAGATTTTTGCTTCACGATATTACATACAATAGAATTATACATAATCTTCATAGACGAGCCATTCTTTTTTTTTTTTTTCAATTTTGAATTACAACTTCCTGCACCGGCTGGGTTGGTGGATCAACTTTTCTGGTTGATTTTGAATTGCCTTTATTTTTCTCTTTATCTCTGGAAGGCAAGCATTGAAGGGCCATTAAAAGTATCTCAGAGAGGTCGAGGGAATTTGGGCGCCCTATATCTTCAAATAATTTGTGGACCTAACACCTTACCACTGTACCTTTCGGTGTGTGGATAGAGGTGCTTTCAACCCATCTCCTTGATATGGATTTCATCCCCACTTATCACAAGCACATTGTAAACTTAATAAAAAAAGAAAAAAACGAAACACCGAATAAATATTTGTTAACCGACAAAAAGGATACTGGAATTGGTCCATTTAAACTATTCCATGTAGAAGCATTATTGTAGAAGTTCAAAATCAAAGAGGGTCGATACTACCTTTAATTCTTAACCATTATGGTTTGTTGCAAAGTCATTCTCAACCTTTTAAACCTAGTAGTGCCCTATATAAGGTTTAACTCCAAGTCAACAATTATCAAATTATATGAAAAGAAAAAAAATTACGTAAATATTTTCAATTATAATTTGCTGAGATTAAAAAACTCTTCTTTTAAAAGAAAATGAATTCTCACCAATTAATACTCCTTTCAAAATTTTTATTATTTCTCAAACTTACTAGATTTTTATCTAAATATAATTTTTGAACATTTAAAAAAATTTCCATATTGTTTTAATGAACAAGTGTTTTACTGTTTAACATGTTTAAAATTGTAAAACATTGAATTTTTTTTATATTAAAGATATTTTCCTATGTAAGAGTCTTTATTTTATAGTCTAATTTGTAAAATGGTATACCATTATTTTAATTGTTATATATATTCTGAAAAATACATTGTTTAATAAGATAAAATCATCCTTTTCTATCATCTAGTTAGGGGTGGCACATAGTTGTTTAATTAATTAACTAAGGGTGGCACATAGTTGTTTAATTAATTAACTAAGGGTGGCACATAGTTGTTTAATTAATTAACTAACTTTAAAAAACTAAATCAGTTTGTCAGTTAATTTAGTTGATATTTGAGTTGTGGTTAATCAAGAATTAAACCAAGGAGAATTAAACCAAGGTAATGTTTGGTTAGTTTCAGTAGGTGGTTTGAAAATTAATTTAACCAAATTGGTTGAATTAATCAAAAAAAAAAAAAAGAGAGTCAATAAACCAATAATTAATCAACTTAACTAACTAAAATAGAATTATTGATTCATTTGATTGGTTTTTCAAATTATAGGTGAATGATATATAACCAACTTAAATTGATGAGCCATTAGCCAACTATTTTGGTTCGGTTATCAGTTGCCAAACTTCCTAACCAACTCGATTAGTTGATATCACGGTTCCATTTGTTAAACAGTCCAAGGGAGAATAGATAAGTTTAATATTTTAGAAACAATTCCTGCTTTCAAGTCTGGTATGAATTGTCGGTAAATGTTATATTATCCAAAGTACATAATACTTTTATTTGTATTCAAAAATCCTAAATTGTAAGTTGGTGAAATAGTACTGCTGTCGGGATCAAAATCTATAATTACAACCTCGGGCCACCAGCCTTTTTTTTTTAATCAAATGGGAAATTTTATAGATTAATTGCACAAAATGTTAGTCCTGTACATATTTAATTGAATTTATTAAATTTAAATATTATTTTATATAATTTAAAAATATTAATTTTAAAATATATAAAAATAATTAAGAGGCATCTTGATCATATTTACACACATAATACCCACCCTATCTTATCTTAGGTTATAAAAAGTTTTTATTTTTTATTAATTTTTTAGTATATGATAATAATATTAAATTTTAATTAATTTAAAATTAAATTATATCAAATTTCATTAAAAAAAATTTTTTTTTTTTTTTTTTTTTTCTTTAAATTTTAAATTGAGGATTTTTTTTAAGGTTTAAAAAAAAAAATACTCCTGCATAAAAACATAGCAAAATTTTCCTGCAGATTTGCTCCATACTTTAGCTAAAGCATCTGCAACGGAGTTAGGTTCCCCAAAAATGTGCCTAATGCACGGCCACGATCTGCCGGATCAACCGCCAGCTAGAATTGATCAATTCAAAGTTGGAGCAGTCACAACTACTATCCACTAGCGTTTATTAATTGTGGGGGTAGTTTGTCGCATAGTTTTTCCTTTTGGCAATGGTCTCATCAGTCTCATGTCAACAGGATTATTCTCCTCTATAAAGACAGTGTCAAATCTCATGTCTTATGGCCTATGCTGAATATACAGACAGTCATTTTTGAATTTTGTTCCAGGAACTTGAGCCTTTGCTTTGACTAAGTCTCCTCCCTATAGGGATGTGTTGGGGTTGGGTCACCCCTATGTTCAATAACTACCTATCATATTTTTAACCTTACATTTTTCTTTTATGCAAATTAGTTGCTATCCTGGCCTTGGGTCTTATGTCGTGGGTGTGACCAAGAAAACACAAGATTGTTGATATCATGAAAATTATTGTAAGATATAATTCACATCACAAAAAACTTAAGTTAATGAATAAATTCTTTTAAATTTAAAATTTTTAATTTAAATTTTTAAATTTTTTTTAGGTTGACACACCTGAAAATTGATTCTAAATTAGTATTTACATGTCATTTGACTAGGCATCTCTTAGGAGGGGATAGTCTTTTTCGTGTTCTCTTTTCCAATCGTTTCCTCTTTTTTTCTTTTGAAACTTGGAAATTTAAAGCTTAAGCCACTGGACTATCCCTACAGGCATCAATTTAAAGATATCTTTAGCCTTCAATCATTTATAAACATCAAAATAAAAGTCCATTTTAAATTAATTAGACAGAGACCAAAACTAGCTTTTAAATTAACAGGAGACATTACCTAAATGAAGAAGGGAAAAATGAAGAATGGACAATCCATGAAAAAGGGGTACTTGTTTATGTCTCCCAAGTTCATGACACATCAACCGCATCCTACATATCCCAAAACTCTCGATCTCAATTATATCTAATTTAATTTAATTCTGTAGCTGAAAATACAAGCAATTTTATCTCTAGATTAACTAGTTGATTGGTAGCTCTCTCTAATATAATGTTTATAAAACTCAATAATACATGGAATAAGCAGAAAACAAGAACCAATCATGAATCAACAAGAACTTTAATCCGAACACTCAGATGATCTCATTGAAACTTGTTATTGGAACACTCATTTCTTGTACTTCTTATCTTTGCCATTGCGTAATAAGGAACCAAAACCAAAGAGATTTGCAGTTCCTTTATAAATGTAAGGGGGCGGGACATTCAACACAGGACTAATTCTGACACCATTACCATAAGAACTTCCATGATTCTTCCTCAATGGCGGCTTTAGATAAGTATTGCTGGATGATGATTGCTTTTGCAAATTCTGCCTCTGAGCGTCCTTCATCGAACCCCGTTTTGGACTAGGCACAGAACCGGCTGAATTGCTCCGGGACAGAAGTGGTAAGGAGCAGATTAGGCTCTTCTTTATGTCACAGTTGAGACTGCTACTTCTCTTGAAACCCCAGAAAGACTTTGGCTGTGGGTTTTCTTCTTCAGAATTGATACCTCCAATCTCCCTCATGCTTTCTTTCCTTGAATTCTCAGCTGCAAGACGATTAGGAAATTGAGGAGAAAGGGAAACTAGAGGTGGGGTTTTGCATTTTTGGACCTGTTTCTCAGGATTAGTCCCCACTGCTGGAAGGATCATGCCATTCGCAAAAAGCTCATCAGCTGAGGAGGATTCTTGGTCAAAACTGCAGCAGACGCTGAACTCAAAATCTGAATTTGAGTCCAAAAGCATTGTATCCCTGCGAGATTCAGTGTGTTCTATAGGTACAATATCTGCTTGGTTAATATCATGGGAAAATGATATCCTAGGACTACTTTCAGAACACATGATGATCATCAGCAGGATTTCTGCCTCTAACTGAGGAATTAAACAAAAGTTAAGATTGTTTCTCAAAAAGACCTTGGAAGAAAAGAAGGGTATGGAAAGGATTCAATTATGGTGGGCTTGAAAGTAATATTGACAAAGATTGATTCGACTAGGAAGTCAAAAGAGGAGGAAGAAGAAGATTTTGTGCATATAATAAACAAAAGGTAGCTGCTTTATTCAAAATTAATTTGAAGATTAGTGCTTCTGAGGAAATTCAAGGCTCAGAGAAAGATAGAATGTTCTTGTTCTCTGCAGAAGATGCAGAGGAAACAAAAACTGTCTGGGTTTGTCAGGAATGAGGAGCAGAAAAGTTATGGCGTGCAAAAGCAGAGAAACGGAAGAAGAGGAGATGGATATATGGTGCTGCGAGCTAATGTATATGCAGAAAATTTTGAAGGATTTTCAGGGATCCAAAGGTGGAGAAATGAGGAGAAAGCTTCGCCAAAAGACTTCATTCAGGGGCAAAGATGGACAGAACAGGACACATACGATTTGACAAAGAATTTTTAAAAATTTTTAAAAATGAGGAAAAAGAAAAGTTACCCACCACAAGAAATGACAGGACTACTTGCAAAAGTGGGAAGAAGATTCATAGACCCGGAATGAAGGCACAGTGGGAACTGGTGGGAGCTTATGAATTAAGATCACTCATATAATATCGGCATTTAGGACAAGAATTTGTCATTGGAGGTGCTTTGTCACTTAACAGTGCGACATTTTCTTTCTGGGATATTTAGGACAGCATAGAAGTAGAGAGAAACAAAACAAAACATTACATAACAAGTTTAAATGAGATCTTGGGTCAATTGCTTAAGTACTTCCAGGTTGAGGCTTGGGAATCTACCATCTAAGGGGCTGTTCGGTTGGGAAAATTTTTTCTTAAAATTTTTTTAACCTTTTCGTTATAAAATTATTTATATATTTTTATACATTAATATTATAACAAAAATAAGATAAAAATAACATTTTTTTACTTTCATTTCACTAATACAATTTTTAACATGTAAACTTTTCTTCTTATATTTTTTATAGAAAAAAGGGTTTTCCCCAACTTTCTCTATAACCCATTTGACAATTTTTTTACAAATTTTCTCCATACCAATTTTTTACCAAACATAAAAAAATTAACAATTTAACAAAATTTGAATAAAATTGTACTATAAAGACCTATTCAGTCAGAAGTCCATAAGAACCTACTTAGTTAGAAGTCCAACTTCACTAGGAAAGTTTTAATTGGGAAAGTAATTAGAAAATATTGGATGAAAAGTTAATAACTTTTGTAGTGAAATTTTGTTAGAATTTTATTGAATTGTTAAATTTTTTGGATTTGGTAATAAATTGGTAGGAAAGTTATCAAGTAACTCCTACATAGAAAAATTAGGAGGAAACTTTTTTCTTTCAAAAAGTGTGGCAAAAAAAATTTATAGATTGAGAATTGTATTAGGAAAATAATGGTTAAAATGTCATTTTTACCTTCTTTTATTGTGGTATTATTATATAAAAAAAACATAAATAACCTTCTAAGAAGAAAAGTTCAAGAAAGTTTAGGGAGAAATTTTTCCTCAATCAAACAAGCAAATACCTTCTAAAACTTATCAACGTTTTGTACAATACTTTTCTACCCATTTTTTCAGTAAAATTTTTCCTAATAAAATTAACGTTCAAACCAAATAGGCCCTAAAGTTTATGGGGTTTGAGTCTCATGAATCTAGGTTTTTCTCTAATTTTTTTCTTAATTTATTTTTTAATGAATTTTCTTAATTTATTTGTAATTCATTCACCTTAACTTAGGTAGTAAGATGTGATCTCAATCATACTAAAAACTTAGCTTTAAATATCTTCTAATGTCATGTGGGTGAAAATATTTTTTTTAATTAGGCCACACTTACCACCTTTTGAAGTGAGAATTTTACCTAGGGACTATGGACAAGATCATTTGCAAGAATTCGTGAAATTAATCAATCTAAAGAGCTGGATACCCATATTGAAAAAAAAAGAAAAAAAAAAAAAGAAAAAAGAAAAAGAAGACCCCTCTTGAACATACAATTGACTTTGTAGACGTTGTATTGATCTTCGACAAGGTTCCTCATTTATAATCATATCCCTTGTAGAAAGAAAGGGAAACAAGGATGAAAAATGAATATCTACCGTGTCTGGTTTGAATAATTCACTCAAGTCATCAGGTTGAATGTCTGAAACCTTTTAGGTGGCTGATACTTTTTCAATTGTATTTTTCAGATTTGGGTGTAAGAAATTTTGATTAAGCTTTTTGACCTCACCCCATTTTCCTGCCACACTTAATCAAATCTGAGGCAAAAAGCTGTGAGATCACAATTTGACATGGATCTTCTGCTTTTACGTTAAACTTCAAGCTAAAGCAGGAATGAAACTATATTCAACAATTGCTTTCTTCTCTGTCCCATCTAAATTCCATTATAAACTGGCAGAACAAATGAGTGATTGCAGTCCAGTTAAAAAGCAATTAGATATTATTATGATACAGAAACCCAATATCATAATGAAGTTGCTAAAGTTTGGTTTGAACTCCAATTTTAGCACAACCACTTCTCAACCTCCCTTTCCCTAAAGTTTTTCTCATTCTTAGGCTGAATATAGCCCTACTGTAGTTCAACTAAGCTAAAGTGGTCCTATTCAATTTGGTTTGGACATTCAAATTCTCATTAAAGTGCCTTAAATCTGAATTCCCTCAAACTTACTCCCTTCTTTATTTTTCAGTCTACCTCTCTACAGAAATCAAATTACTCAGGTGAATACACTTTGCCAGAACTTGAGATGTTAAATGCGATACATGCAGCTCATCTAACTCTTGCAGCCACTCAATATTCTGAAGGTACATGTCCAATTCTCATTGAAGTGCCTTAAATCTGCATTCACTCAAACTTACTCCATTCTTTATTTTTCACTCTACCTCTTTATAGAAATCGCATCACTCAGGGTAATACACTCTGCAGAACTTGAGATGTTAAATGGGAGCAAGCAGTTCATCTAACTCTTGCAGTCACTCAATATTTTTGAAAGCACATGTTGCATTTAAGTAAGGTAGTTGAAAGGATTAAAAAAAAGAAGAAGTAGAATTCCTAAGCTAGTAATTCTCTCTATCATTAAAAACACTCAATGGTTGAAGTATGCTAAGCTGTAAAATGTTGCATGCATCAACTGAAATACACCATCCACCTACTTTGGCTATAATTCAATGTGCAGAAATTGTCAAAATGATGTAGAAATCTGCTGCTCCCTTATTCCCAAGTATTTGTCGTTTTCTGATTAATTTCTTTACTCATTATCCTATCAAAAAAGATTTAAATTTTTTTTAACGATATTATAAATAAAATAAAATCATCCCCAAATCTTTAATTCACCGGCGATTAATGGAATAGTAGAATTAGTAGTATATAAAAATGTTTTTTTAATTTGTGCCTTAAAAATATAATTAATTACTTTTTTATAATCAAATATCATTAAAAGTGTAAATGTTGATTTTAATTAGTTAATTAAACTAACATCAACCATATGTCAATAGTGTTAAAATAAATGTCAACTTTTATAATTTTTTATATAAATTAATTATAAAAAGATACATTTATTACACTCTTAACTTATATTACAAGAGCAAATGTTAGAAAAACCCTACATAAAATAATCATCACAATAGTTGTCATTTCTTAATGCATGGAGAGGGTAATGAATTAGATATTTATTGTGAAAATTTAATGTTTTAATTTCCAGATTAATGAATCAAATTCTTGCACGTGAATTTAAGGCTTTCTAACTCGTCCTAGATTGAATTGAATACTTCTATGTATTTAATCTGAGATTAGGGAGAGCTTCTCATTAAACTACTAAGAGGGCCTCCCTTACTTTGGTACATGAGTTGGTATACTTAACAATTGTATTTTAATATAAGATAATCCTGGGAGTGGTTGAAAAATAATTTTGACAATTTGTTTTCTTTGAATGCTTTTTTCTTCTTTTTTTGAGGACATGCAATCCATCTTCTCGTGTATACATTTTCATTGGACAGAGAGATTATTGCCACTATAGGAACCAAAAAAAAAAAAAAAAGAGATTATTGCAACTATTGGGAGTACCATACCTTGAACAATTCCTTCTCTAATCCCCATTCATTGCACTTTTAGAAGGGCATTTTAAATTTTTTGAGGTTTGCTTTAGAAATTTCTATATCCACTTGTCCTCCCAATGTATGGAATATCGACAAAGTGTTAGTTTCTATTAAGAAAAGAAAAAGGAAAAAGGAAGTGCCCAAAGACAAGAAAAAAACTTTATGTTTTAAATTGAAATTCTCATGTTTAAATTTAATTTAAAAGGATTTAAAATAAAATATTATTTTTTATTATTTAACTATCAGTTCATTTGTACCAAAAAATGAAAAATGAAAGCTGAAGAAAATTTCTTCTTCATAATATGGATTTAATTATTTTGATTGTTTTATAAACATTTGACTAAAATAACTACATATAATATAAGGCGTGTATATTTCTTGTGAGATCATCTGCATTTGAAAAACCTAGCAGGCTCCTCTTTGCTGAGTTTGACTACAAATATTACCTTATGAGCTGTTTAAAAAATTAAAATGGAGCTTTATTTAAAAATACAAAAAAAAAAAAAAAAAAAAAACCCAGGGAAAGATTCCTCTTTTTGTGTGATGATTTCTCCGAGAGTTTATTCCTTGAAAGATTTCAATATAAAA